CTAACGCATGCCTGACATACAGTTGTGTTGGGGGATCAAATGTAGTTAAGGAAAAGGATGTCAAGTGATTGATTGTTCGATCCAAACGCATTCATGCTTTCAGATTGATTGTCCGATCCAAACGCTGTTCATGCTTTCAAACTCTTACCACCAGTAACACTGGGGGTAAGCACCCACTCTTATCCAGCAATTGAACTTTCGAGAAAAAGTTCTTTATTAAGGACTTTGGAACACAAATTTATATTCTATAAAACCACTTGCAAGAAGAATAAGTCCCAGATGTAAGACTACAGAGACTAACCTTTCCAAATTACCAATTTAAAATAGTTCATACTAAGTTGAAAACAAAATACTCTCTCCTATTGATACAAGAATCTCTGGATTGGATCCAGAATCAAAGATCTCCAGATCAAAATTATGTTATTTCAGAGAGGAACAAAAAGGCATAAAAAAGTATGAAATGGTAGTACCTTCACCACAAGGAGACTTTCTAGTGGTAATGTTAAGGACCTTTGTGGGCATCCTCACTGGTCCCTTCACCCTGAGCCTCTTATCCTTGGCACCACGAACCAAATCAGCACACACTACATGTTTTTAGATCATGTCAAAGAATAAGAGTGTATCTCTTAATAATTTATACAAAACCACAACCACAAGTAAACCATATATGAAATTTCAAACCACAGCTCTGACTGCAAAAAGTCATTCGCAGCTGAAACACAATGCTCCAATATCTACTTTTACCAGTAGTTACCAGAAATAGGGTACATTTCTTCAAGGTAGACAAACTAATAGTCACTGTCTTTAAACATATCAACAAGTTCTACTTTAAGCATGTGAAAGTCCAAACATAAATCAAATCTACACATAAATCTAAGAAGAAAAAAAAACTTCTACCAGATACCAACAAAATGTAGCATATGACATGTACCAATGAGTAATGAAATCAAATAGTAGCCATGGGGATTCATACAACACGGGCACAACACATAACAAGCAAATGCAAAATCATAAGCCAGTTAAATCCTTCTTTCAACAAATTCCAAAAATTGAACCAGAATGCTTTAAAATATGCTTTTTGACTACCAAATGAACTCAATACCATCAGTTGATTTGTTAGAGAACAGTATTTCTCAAATTAAAGCTGAACTAGCAGTGCTAGTACTCCAATAGACACACTGCTACAAATTCAATTACTCTATTATACTAATTATATTTATACTTTCACAATTTTCTCATCAAGACTATGCCAAAAATCAGAACCATAAAGAGTTGGAAAGCCTTTGCACGGATCCAATGAGTTCCACATAAACACAACTGAAGCATAGTACAATTACATACTCATGACATTGAAAAAATAAAGAAGCATAAAAGGGGAAACCTTTCTCGAGATTCTTAACATTTTTGGAGGAAAGAGTGATCCTAATCTTGTGAATCTGCTCTTGTGGCTCCTCTAGCCCTGGCTTGGTCGGCTTCATCGCTGCATATGCTGCCATCTTTCTGCACACAAAACGAAATCCATTTCTCCATCATATACACACACAAAAAACACATGTTTATTTGCTATGAGAGAAGAGCGGTGCTTGGAGATTACATTACCTGAGAGTGGAGAGAAGAAGCTCAGAATTTTGCAACGGAGACTGACTGATACTGCTGCTGCCGCTCTTTCCAAAGGCTATAGGAGGCTTTTAAGAGTACTCTGTCTGCTTTATATACCTTAAACCTAGCTAGGGTTTTTATTTTCTTCTGTTTGTTCGGGTAACTTACATGGACTTCGTAATAGAAAATCATAGAATTAGTCCATTATATTTAGGTTAGTTTAAAATAGTCCTTTAATTATATATTTGAACAATTTTGGTCCGCTATGTTTATAAAAAAAAAAAAAAAAGTGAACACTTTTTATTCCTATTATTTAAAATGTATGATGGTAACTGTTAGACGTCCGCCACTTTGAGCTTGACTTAACAACGAGAGCGTAGTCATAAGGCAGCAAGAGTGTTGCAAGGCAGGTGCACGAGTAGCACCAAGTCAAAAAGGAAAACGAGCAAGTGATGGCCAAGGCTTTGACGGAGGCGAGACAGCTTGGCAAGGGCTTGACAATGAGTTGCGGCTGAGGGTGACACTTGATCATGGCAAAGGCATCAAGGCATGAGGCAGTGAGGCCAAGGCAAGGCAAAAACGAAGTGACAAAGGCAGGCTAAAGCGCAACGGAAGGCAGTGCGCGGGACAGACCATGGCATTGGGGCGCGACAAAGGGCCATGTTCGTGGGCAATGGCGTAGGCAAAATGTGGCTACAATGCAGCTGGATACAATGGCATTGGCGCCTGATTCAAGCCAACGCACGAAAATGGGCAGCAAGTTTCAGATTGACCAAGTCAAGAGCGGTTACGGCACATGTTGTGCACATGGGCAGCAGTTGGCTTTGTTCAAAATGTTGGTAGATGGGAGTTAGCACGTTTTTGGCCATGTTTCCATTATTATTGGCATGATCTTACATGTTCCTAGTAGTTGGGGGATGTCAACTACATTAGGCTAAAAATAGTGAGCTATGTGGGACAAGTGTCTAAGCCTAAGTGCAACTAATGTAAGACTAAGGGGTTGGTTCATGTGTTATAAATGGGCAGCACCCTTATGCTTGTGGGAGAAGAGAAAAATGTGAGAGTGCATGATTTGAGTTAGGAAAGAGTTCCTAAGTCTGTTTTCAAGAGTGAAAACGTTAAGGCTAAGAGTAGTCTTTGTGAGAAAAATCTGAAGGTCAAGAGTGATCTTCTTTTGTACACGGCTGTACTTTGAGTTGAGTTTCTTTGTATGCTCGAGTTAAATACAAAGTTGGAAAAAGAGTTTCATGTATATTGTGCCTTGTGTTCATCTAAGTTTCTGATTGCCGTTACTTATTTTTCGTTGCCTAAATCAGTCCAAAAACTTACTACGTTGAAGCTGCCTAAAAATATTCTAAGTCCAAAGTTGTTGTAATTTTGGCTAAGTGTTGTGAAGGCTGAAGTCAAGTGCGGAACTCGGCTGTCGCGCAGGCTGGTTTTCGGCGGACTGAAAATGCGCCTGTGACAACTAGTATTAGAGCGGAGCTGTGAGCACGTGATTTTTGCCTCGCTTAAATTACTCCTATAAAATTCATAAAATTAGGATTTTTCTTTTATTTTTTAGAATTTAATTGCATAATTTTGTGATTGTTTGTATTTTTGTGTGCATTTTTAGTTGGCATAATTCATAAAAATACAAAAAAATAGTACATTTCGCATCTAAAATTTGATTTTTATATTTTTAGTTCTACTAGTTAATTAATATTACTAAATAAGAGAAAAATAACAAAAATAGTCTTTTTACAATTTTTAAATTTTACTTTTTTGATTAGGAATTAGTTAATTAGTCACCTTAGATTTGATTTGGGTCTTATTTTTAGGAAAAAGTTATTTTTACATGATAAAATCAGAAAATTCACAAATAATAAGTAAAATGCAAAAATAAATACAAAAGGAAACAAAAGAAAAGAGTAAAAATAAAATAAAAGAATGGTCTTGATAAAAGACCAAATTTTGGGCCAAAATCCAATTTTAAGCCCAAAAGTCACCCAAAACCGGACCAAATCACAAGCCCAACAACCCCAGACCCGGCCTGCCCCCTTTATTTCTGAAACAACGTCGTTTAGCGTCGAGAAATCGGAGCCGTCTATCGCCCATCATCCAATGGTCCAGATTCATTCAAGGGATTTACATAAATATGTAATAATCCCTTTTACAAAATAGAGAACAGGCAGTCCCCTCCTCGTACCCTGTTCGACACCACCGTTTCACCACCGTCTCTCCGCCCTGAGCCGCCGGACGGAAATCGTCTCCGCCGGCGCCGTTTGTCCAAATCACCTGAAAATTACACCACAGATTCCCCAAGTCTTCCTCTTTCCAAACCTCAAACCCCCATGGTTCAACTCCCTGTCAAAAACCCCAAATCGTTGAAACCCTAGGCGCCGCCACCACCGCACACGGCGGCGCCGGCTCCAAACACTTCCAAATTCACACCACCAAACCTCCTCCATCTCCTCATCACCAATCCGTAAATAATCCTCCTCAAATCATGACTAAGCCCCTCGAATTTCAAATCCAAATTTCGGTCAAAACCCTAATTCATCTCGTTGCTTTCATATAACACACTAGAGTTTCCTTTCTTCCCTCATGAGGGATTAGACTTCATTGGCCCTCGAACCTCATTGAAGTCAGTCGAATTGCGCATCTAGGGTTTATACGGTTCAAGGACGAATGAGTTTCTAGTTAATATTATAGGCCTATTTTTGACGAAATAGACATATAATATTAACTGGAAGTCAATTTCGAAAGGCATTTTTGTGGAGTCTGAAAATCAGTGAGTTTTCTTTTTTTATTTCTTTCTTTCTGTTTTTCTGTTTGTTTGTTTGATTATTTGTGATGCAATTGCTTGCCTTTGCTTCCAATTCGATTTGAATCCTCAGACCTAGAATGTTTAATTCTTTGGGTTAATTCTCATCTGTTCAGTTAACTGGTTCATGTTAGCTTAGTTTTGATTTTCGTTTTGTTGTTAAGCCTTGTTTAATTCTGATTAGTTCGAATTGCTAGTTTAAATTGGATTCGATTCAATTCTAATGTAGTTGTTTATAGCACTTTCTTCAGGTTGTAATTGGATAGGATTAGTTAGGCTTTCAATAGTTGGTTTGGTGTGTCAAAACAGTATTTGTTTAGTAGTAATTCAGTAATTAACAATTAGTAGCCATTTGAATTAGTTAAGTATGTTTTGTTCTATAAATTCAATGTTGGTTCAAGTAGTTATTAGGATTATTTTAGTCAAGAATGCTGAGTTCAATAAGAGTTTAATTGGGATTGTTCTTCAATAGTTGGCAATTCAGAGTTTAGGAAATTGTTTGGTTTAAGTGCAGGGGTAGTTTAGGTATGTGGGGGGCAAAGGGATCTTTAAATAATTGAATTGGAAACTACTAGAACTTTCTAGATAAGTTTCAAATCAGATTTTTGGTAACTTAGGGGTGTAACTTGGGTAACAAGTCAGGGAATAAAGGATTAAGTAGGCAAAAAGAAAAGAAAAACTGAAATAAAAGAGGGACTAAAAGTGTAAATAGCAATCTGAAGGCAGCCCTAGGCTTTGCCTATAAAAAGGCATGCCTATTGCCTTGTTGAACAAGTTTTGGAGAATCTGAAAAGTCCCCAAAGGTTTTAGAAGTTTCCACTCTCTAAAAAAAATTTTTCCAAAGTTTCAAGCATCTGAAAATTCCAAAAGGTTTCAATCTCCGGAAAATTCCCAGAAGTCATCTTCTAAATTTGAATTTCAAATCCAAAGGAATTCAAATCTGAATTTCAGATCTTAATTCCCTTCTAAAAACAAAAACAAAACAAAAATACAGTATAAACTCTCCAAAAAAAAAACACTGTTACATTGCATTTTCTATCTCTTAGCTTGATTTTGTTTAGCTGCTGAAGCTTCAGAAGACTCCTGGTTTAAATTCAAGTTGTTTTGGAATGTATTCGAGCCGTTTGGGTGTTATATTGGTTGAAATTGGTTCTGATTTGGTGTGATATCGTTTCCTGGGTTTTAACTAAGTCCAAATTGATTCCTGCTACTGTGAATTCCTGGCTGATCCTATTGTTTGTTGCCAACTGCTGCTGACCTTCTTTTTCTCCTTGTTTCATTACAAATTCCAGGTATTTTCTCTAACTCAGGAGATCTGGAAGTACAAATGTATATTGCAAGCTGAAAACTGGAATAAAAAAAAATGAAGCATGTTATTATTGATTCTGTTACTATTGATGTCTTAGTGTATTTCATTGTAATTAATTAAGACTGGACTGTTTGGACTGTTAATTCGTAATGGACTGTTGATATTCAATAGCTTCTTATGATTGTGTTTGGTGATTAGCTTAACTATCGATATTAGCAACAGTATACATGTAGAAGTTGATTTAGATCTTCACTTGTAGTTAATAATTCAACATTCGAATAGCTGTGAGCATTTAACAAATGCCAGCAGTAGTATGAATTTAGATTTGTTAATTTACTGGTTAAAAACTGAATTTGACTAGATTGCATGCTCATAAGTGTAAGAAAATCAGATTGTGAGCTGTTCGCATGCTTCAACGAAATTTGACACACGTTTAAATCTGGAATCAATTTTTATCATCCATGCCTAATGCTTAGGTGTCTAGTCAAGTGTTAATATAGATGTTTAGCTAAAACTGATCAGAATTAAAAATATCCATTGAATCGAAGTTGTTTGCATAGGCTAATTTGACCCATAGTATTTGGATAAAATTGTCACCAAACCTTGCCCTTGTCACATTGGGCTCCAACGGATAGTCCAAATGAAATTCTGTTTCAGGCCCGTCGAATTCCATTCATTCTCGATTTGGGCCCCTGAGCAGGCCCACTTGATTGACCCTCATCCAAGCTCTACTAAGATTCTTTATTTTGGATTTGGCTTAAAGGCCTTAATTCATAGCTTAATGTAATATAAAATTGGGCTTTCGAGTTAGGTAGCGTGTTCAAATTGAGAGGGTTCTCCCTTTTGTTTGAATTCGGACTTGAACTCGAGGCCCGAATTTATAAATGCAAATTAATTAGGCCCTTCTAGAGGCAAAAAATAAATAGAAAATCGTAGTTGGCTTTAGGTCGGCCTTTAAATAAAAAATGAGACGAGCCTCGCCAAACAAAATGCAATAAATTG